TTGAAGCTCCATTTTAACCCTCGCTGTTCGAAAATTTACTTTCATCGAAGCAAAGTTGACGAAATCTTGGATTCGAAATGAAGATTCCGATTCGACACAGTTTCATCGGACTCATACTGTTGATGGAGGCTTGTTTATTGATTAAAGGTCAGTATAACCGCGCATGTTTTGTTGGCTTTGCTTGCTTGCCTGGGATTTTTTTTTTGGGGGGGGGGGGGGCGCACTATAACTGACATGGGCAAACTACGGCCGGCGGGCCAAATTTGGCCAGTTTGGTAATTCAATCTGGCCCGCCTGATGCTACCACAACCAAACTAAAATCAAATTTTTATGTTTTAGCCAAAAGTTACTTAAGGAATTTGTTGCGATTGCTTAATACAGCAGCAAATTACTGATCAGTGTCTGCTCGCCTTTTTCACTCCTGAGCCTTTAGTAGTTTATATGACGATATTTTAAACTTGAGTATAAAAACAAAAAGTTTCAAATGAGGCAATTCTCTCATCGGCTGCTCGCACAGAGCCATGTTCGGGCAGGAAGACGTATAAATAAAAGCCGCAAACTGTGGGGAATTCAAACTCTCCCGAGTTCATTGTTCGCCCAGAAAAATTTGAAACGATTCTCAGAACCAGAAATGAAATCGCCGGTATAGAATTCAAATCTTTGCCCATGCCAGCACTTTCCGACAAAACTTTATTAGGTTTCCCCGATGGCGGGCGTAATAATTAAAATTGATTCAACCAATCATCATCGAGGTAAATAGTGCGTTCACATGACGTGGTAGCAGTATGAAATTAAATATGGAATGAGCGAATGCGCGCCATAAGGAAATAGGTACTGAATTAATTAGTACATTCGAATTAGCTCTATACATTCATTTGTGAAGCCAATCTAATTGATTTATCTAAGTTCAACTGTGGCACAACATAAATTCAGCTCACTAACACGCGCCATGCAATGTTGTGATCAACTTAACAGCGACTCGTATCGCTCGCCCATCTACGAAATCATCGCACGTAACTCCGAATATGGACAGGGGAAGTATTGCAAGGGACTGATCAGGTATGAAAGATGCTTGGTCGCGTTGCAGAGCTGCATACTTTATTGCTGGGTCAAATTGAGTAAAACTTATAACCGCATAACAAAAGTGATGTCATTTATCCATTTTATTAGCTTTTAACTTAAAATTTCTAACCAAAATCATGCTTAAAGTTACTTTACCAGTCTTGCGTGTAGCGAATCTAAGGGTATTCGAATCTTTATTTCATAACTACTTAAATTGGCGACGCGACGCTCATATGTGGCTATTTTTTGTTCTGCGCTTCTGAAGCAAGTAAACCAAGAATTCGACGTCCGAAATGCTATATTCGATTGTCAAAAATTTTATTTTCGACGTTCGAAATCTTATATCCGATGTCTAAAATCTATATTCGAAGTACGAAATCTTATATTCGACGTCGGAAATACTATATCGACGTCCTAAACCTATAGTCAACGTCCAAATCTAATATTCGACGTCCTAAAGCTCAATATTCGACACGCGAAATATTATATTCGATGTCCGAAAATCCTATTTTTCGACGTCCAAAATTTTATATTAGACGTCCGAAATCCTGTATTCGACGTCCAACATCATAAATTCAACGTCCCGAAATTCTATTTTCGACGTCCAAAATTTCATATTCGACGTCCGAAATTCTATATTCGACGATTTTCAGTTTTGTTGATCCCACTGTTTTTACTAAATCAGGATATTTTGTACAAAGCCCCCGCCAAAAATTAAACACCCCCACGCCCGCTCAAAAAAAATTGTAGTTAACCATTTAGTGTGAAGGCTAAGAAAGCAGATTGCGCTGGAAAGTCAAATTTTCAGATCATTTCTGACCCTAAATTCTTAATTTTCTGTTAATTCATATTTTTATATCTACCCAGACTGGGCCACGTAATATTAAAAGCCGGCAGGACATGTTCTGGCCTGTATTTTCATAAATAGAAATCATGGGGGCGGTTAATATGCCATATCGCGCAAAGTGTACCAGAATTCCACCAAATAGGACTCTCACAGACTTGGTCGGTGACGTTGTCGTCATCGTTTCATAAAGATAGAAAGAGCAGCCCAAACTCTGCTTTTTAAATTTCCGCGCAAAAGTAGTGAGTCAGCTTGCATAGTATTATTCCGATGCGAATAGATTGAAGCTTCATTTTAACCCTCGCTGTTCGAAAATTCACTTTCATCGAAGCCAAAATTGACGAAATCTTGGATTCGAAATGAAGATTCCGATTCGACACAGTTTCATCGGACTCATACTGTTGGTGGAAGCTTGTTTGTTGATTAAAGGTCAGTATAACCGCGCATGTTTGTTAGCTTTGCTTGCTTGCCTGGGATTTTTTTTTGGGGGGGCGCCACTATAACTGACATGGGCAAACTACGGGCCGGCGGGCCAAATTTGGCCAGTTTTGGGTAATCAATCTAACTAAAACCAAACTAAAATCAAACTAAAATCTAATTTTATGTTTTGGCAAAAGTTACTCAAGAATTTGTTGCGATTGCTTCTGTAAAACCGTTAGGATGTTCATAAAATGTAACTTTTTACGTCACACTTACATGGCCGCTAGTCTAGGTGGGCAAAATTTTTGGCGCTGGTCACAAAAAACATTGCCCACCTCTGCGCGATAGAATAATTAATTTACTTTGGTTATTTGATACCCCGTTGGTAATTCTTACTTCAAGTAAAACTTTTGCCTCAGTAAATCAGGCAAGATAATAAAGCTGTCTAAATGAAGCTGCACATTGGATAATTGTGCATGAAAAATGTTCTGGAATAATTGTGTTAAAAATTCACACGGTGTTTAGTGTTGACTGTTTTTACGGTGCTCCAGAAGTATATGTACCAATATGAAGGTGACTAATTGTGTTCGCCTATTTTACATCAATAAGGGACCGAAACCTTTGGTAGGGGTGAGGGTATTCCCTAGGCTAACACACACCAATCTTACCTGGTAGACATACTTCGGAGTACCGTTATTTAATCGGCTATTAATAATTGTTGATTTCAATCAATTAATTTGCTGAAGCAATAAACAAAAATGACATAGCGATTTTCGAATATAAAAATTAATGGTTCATACAGAGGATTAGTTATTTAAAAATTAATTAAAAGACTACTACAAAAATCAGGCCATTTATATCCAAACATCATGAATCGTATTATACTCGTATAGAATACAGAAATCTAACATTATCCGTTCTCAGTTTCACAGGCGTAGTGAATGACATAATTTATATAAATTAAAAATATTTTTTCGAACCACACCGAACAATTGTGCAAAGAGACGATGAAAAAAACACTTCAACCGATTTTACCAATCTCATAAATGCATTCGAAAATCGACGCTTAAGCGCATATAGGCGACGCGGCGTAACTGTAAATTGAAACAAATTATTTGACAAATTTTAAATCTGTTTTCTCGCTTCACGGCTGGCAATAATTGTATCAGGAGGAATATTTATTTATTGCGGCGTAAGGGGAAGCCGGTATGAACGGTGTAATAATATGACGAACCCTCGGTCTCTCGATAGAGGTTGAAGCGACAATTGAATATGAAAAATAATGATTTTACCGATTACTTGGAACTGATATCTAATCAAATAAATTCTCGCTCAAATATTACTGTTTCTGAAAATTAAAAACATTTCAATAATGAACTTATTTCAAATTCAAAAAACCCATACTCTGGTGCCCAGGCGTTTTATTTACGGGCCGGTGTTTCTAAGCTATTATCCAATCTATTATTCATATGCTTCCAGTAGCTAAAATTCTACGCAATTTATCCTCGACGACATAATGAATTCTTTATGACGTCATTGTTTAAGAGAAGTCTCGAAAACTGACCTGACCGTGGATCTCTGCCTTTTCTTCATCGTAAAACGATTTTCGTTTTGAAAATCTCCTAAGAGAGAACTTCCTCATTTGAAATGTTTTGGTTTTTAAACTCAAATTTTAAATATCGTCATAAATACACTCAAATGTTCAGAAGTGAAAAATCGCTCATACATTAGCGGGCGTGTGGCCATTGGTAAAACGTTGGACTGAATATTTTGGCATCGTAGAGTAAAATCTCGGTTTCAATTTTATACACATCACCTCATCCCATGGTGTTTTGGACTGAATAAGCAATGCCGAACCAACATATCGCTGCCCATTCAAAAAAATAGCATCAAATTACGGATTAGTGTCTGCTCGCCTTTTTCACTTCTGAGCTTTTAGTAGTTTATATGACGATATTTTAAACTTGAGTATAAAAACAAAAAATTTCAAATGAGGCAATTTTCTCATCGGCTGCTCGCGCAGATCCTTGTTCGGGCAGGAAGGCGTATAAATAAAAGCCGCAAACTATGGGGAATTCAACTCTACCGAGTTCATTGTTCGCCAGAAAAATTGAAACGATTCTCAGAAACCAGAAATGGCCGGTATAAATCAAATCTTTGCCCATGCCAGCACTTCCGACAAACTTTATTAGGTTTCCCCGATGGCGGGCGTAATAATTCAAAATTGATTCAACCAATCATCATCGAGAAAAATAGTGCGTTCACATGACGTGGGTAGCAGTATGAAATTAAATATGGAATGAGCAAATGCGCGCCATAAGGAAATAGGTACTGAATTAGTCTCGTTATGAAAAAAGTTCAGTGACATAACGTTCGTTTATCTGTTATAAACCTATTTAAAATGAAACATTCTCATCGATTCCTAAGTTTTTAATTTTTTCTAACAGGAGAGGAAATGCTGGGAACGCCTATCGGTTTGCGAACGGTCACCAAACCCTACTTCGGAGAGAAACTTACGGTGAGAGCTTAGGTTAGTAGTTTCATAATTGGTGGTATTTCACTTCAATCTATGGGAACACTTTTTCACGGGGAACACTCGCTAAAGCTAAGCCTTACTGCACAGATGTGCACCTTTCATGTTCGTATATTCAACATTCTCTCTGTTCTATTTCAGAAAGGACAGTGCACGAAGAAGAAGGGAAAGCTTTGGAAGGTTCGTTTTGAGAATTTAATTTCCTTCGAAATACGTTTGCTATTTTCATATTTGTCACACGGTCTGATAGCAAACAATCGTTTTAGTACTCCTGAAGTACGCGTACCAAGATAGGGAACCGGAAGTAGTATGTGTACCAGGTTGGGGTTAAGCCATAATTTCAGTAACAATTACTAAGAGTCACTTAGCTAGTCCCCGAACTCGTAATAGAACTAAAATAGGGATTAATGAAATGGATTTATGGCCTAACCTGGTACACATACTACGTTCCGGTGTCCGCCATCTTGGTACGCATACTTCAGGAATACCATCATTTTATTAGTAAACTTCAATCATTTCATATTTTTATCGCGCCATTTTTCACAATCACACCATGACGTGTAGTCTAGCAATATACATCTCATATTTCTATTTTTTGGCCAGAGAGAAAGGGGTTCATATCTTCTAACAAAAAAATTTGGAGCTCCAAAAGTTGTGAACCAAAATGTCGCGCAACCTGAACATAGTAAGTGTGTACCGGTTGGGATTCAGGTTGTGCGACATCTTGGTACACATAATTCTGGAGCACAAAAAAAATTAACTGAATTCGGATTGTAAAACTGAGGGCTCAATTTGAATTCTGTTTTTGTTTATGTTTCGCAGCTTTAACGGAACGATTGGACGGGATGAAAAGTGAGCTCAATCAATTAGAAAAGGTGTTGGAAGAAGCAGAGACGAACTCTGTTGCAAGTGTCAAAGAAACGACCACTCCCCATGGTATGAAAATTTATGTCTTTTGGTATCGCATATACTAGATATTGAAAAAAGTCTTTTTCAGTTATAGTAATTGGTAATAAGGGATTGTGCGAAAACGCTGAAAAAAAAAAATTTTGAAATATATTCTCATTGCCATTCAGTGCCTCATTCTTACCTTGAAGTAATCAAAACTATAAATCTTACTATGAACTTGTAATATGAACTCACTTTTTCACACAGGATACAAAAACAAGAAAACTTCCTCGGCCCGTACTTCAACCGTCCCTGCCACATCCCCGTGGTCAACTAAGGAAGCCTTTCTGTCTACTTTTCGCCCACAAACTACCAAAGTCGAACAGAGTACAGGTTGGTGTGGCCTTCTCGTTTTCCGCTCGAAAAATATTTTCCCTCCCAAACGCTCTTTAGTACGCGTCAAACATCTAAGTAGGAATACCCCAGCTCCTGAGGTCCAGAAAAGGAAAGTTTAAATTTAATATGTGTTTTATATTCTTCCGCCAAATACACTGTATTAATGAAGTGGATGAAAAAAAATTATTTCTTGCATAAATTACGCTTTAACTGAGTTCAATTGAAGATTTCGTAAATTTTTTCACTAGATTGGGGAAAATTCCCTACTTTCCGCAAGATGGAATTTTTTTAAATTGAAGTTTGTATTAATGATAGGGATGAGAAAAAATTATTTTTTATCAAAATTACGCTTTAACTGAGTTAAATTGACGATTTCGTAAAGATGGCGCACAACCTGAATATAGTATGTGTACCAGACTAGGATTCGGAATGTGCGTCATTTTGGTACACATACTTCGGGAGTACCGAGTTTCCCTACTTTCCGCAAGGTGAAATTTAATAAAATTTTTATATGTGTTTTATATATGTCCACCAAATATATGGTATTAATGAATTGAATGAGACAAATATATTTCTTACCAAAATTACGCTTTAACTTGGTTAAATTGACGAATTCAAAATATTTTTCCTAAGTTAAGGGGAATTTCCCTACTTTCCTCACGGTGGAATTTTTTTTTAATTTTAATATGTGTTTATATACGTCCATCAAATATACTTTATCAATGAATAGGATGAGAAAAAAATTATTTCTTACCTTTTAATTACGCTTAAACTTGGTTACATTTACGATTTCAAAATTTGTTTACTTAAGTTGGGGGAATTTCCCTACTTTACGCACAGTGGAATTTTATTAAAATTGAATATGTGTTATATATATGTCCATCAAATAAACTGTATTAAAAAATACCAACCAAGCGAAAAATGCATTTACAGGTATTCCGCAAAATACGAAATTTAGAGGTTTTAAACAATTTTATCAAAATTCTCCAATAAAAAATATGTTACATTTATATTGCTCAAGATTTAAAAAATATATGGTATGTTTGGTATTATATGTGGCCGAGTCAAAATGTGCTGCTACTGTCCTGCTATAATGCAATCGAATCTATAAGGATTCTGCTTTTTTCCAATTGTGTTGTGATTAGAGATGTAACGATGTATCGGAATCAGTATCGACAATATCGCCCTTTTTTCCAGAATCAGTCATGTATCGGTGATCGGTCGATATTTCCGGTCCAAAAAGTTTTAAAAAATAAGTTAAAATAATGATATTTTGCTTAGAGGCTCGTGAACTATGAGTCATGCATGTCCCCATCCCAGCGAGAAGAAACGAGAATTGTATTTGCCTGTTTTGAGGTATTTATCAGCCAAACTAGCTCAACTAATTTGGCTCTTTCCGCTGCCAAATTTTTATATTGACATTTTTAATACATATTAATTATGAAGAAATATATCAACACAGCACAGAAAAAAGAGCAACTAGGCGCGCAGTTTCAAATCATACAGTGGAATCGTGGTCTTTATTTAACAGAACATCCACTTTATCGTGCGACTATAAATTCCCACTGCTTATCGTCAAGCGCGAGTGTCGTTTAGTCCATCGACATCGTTAAGATAAATTCCGACTGAACTATCCCCCTACACAAGTATTAAATATTGTGATTTCATTAACTTTGTTCAACTACGCAATTTGCTTGTTGATTTATTATTCGAGACTATCCTAAAATATAGGATAATATTTGTAAAATATTATAAAATAGTAAAATAAAAAACTTCCTCGACGTGTTAGATACTTCTAGTCGACTTACGATTACAATTAAACACAAAATAAAATATTTCTAAAATGTCTTCAATTAATACGTAGGCCGGCGGCGCTAAAATGTGTGGGCGATATTCGATATTCTTTCAAACACAAAAAACAATATTTAAAGGCCGCGATATTGATATTAAATTCAAATTGGACATCCCTGCCTATGAGTTTTCTAATTGAACACCGAGATTACTAGCGTTAGTGCACAATACTTTTGAATCAATTAAGGCATCTGTATACCAGCCATCAATTTCCTATTATGTGATATTTCTTTTTTTCAATCTGAAATAATGTGTACAATGAATAATGCCCAAATGCTATTGTTTTAACCGTCTGCCCTGCACACTTGAGGTAATAATTACATAGTATCGGAATATCGGCGAAATCGGCCTTTTTGTAATATCGGTATCGGCGTTTGATAACCACTTAGATCAATTATTATGATTTAACAGTTGCAAATTTTTTGAATTACAGATATTTTGCGTTATGACGGAAGAATATTCATACCGTTGGCATCTGAAATGGTTCCTAAAGCATCAGCGATCGTCAAATGTCAACAGCTCGGTGGTGAACTTGCAAATATTTACACCCAAATGCACATGGACAAAATAATGACATTCATTCGTGACAACAAGTTGGACGGGCAATCATTTAAAGACTTTCATCTCGGCTTGACATACGACCCTATTGTGAGTTAAAAATAAAAGCTTTATCAGTATTACTATCAGTAAAGATTACGTGAAACTAACTCCCAATCCTTCCTCAATGCCTCTGCGCTAGTGGATCCGTATGCATATGATGCAAAAAAAAAATATTATACTATGCTATTCGGGAGTACTGCTGCACACTAACACAAATGTATTTCTGTAACGTTTCGTCTGACCAAAATCAGAATTCCTCAGACAAGCAGTTTCCAACAATGACAAGAAAAGGACAACTGAGCAGTTTAAATACGGCGATAACTAAATTTGTTTGAAATTAATTGTGACCAAACAACCAGATTGCAACGTTAAAAATGAGATCGGTTCTCGGCATGGAATAATTGTTCCGCGATGTATTTGACCTCACAATAAGTTTCACTAGAAAATTTGTCGAGGTGTTCCAGGCTCAGCTCGTGATAGTCGGAATTCTTTTATAGTGATTTTTTGAAAGGCGTTGAAGTCCTTTCAATAATGTAATAAATTTTTCGCTTATCGAGCAGCGACACCTGTGATAAAAGTCTAATTTTGATACAGATTGAATAGAAAGAAGTCGAACAATTTATATAATTAAAAATAGTATTGTATAAAAATCAAATACATTACAAAAAACTCTGGGCACTGGAAAGTACCGGTAACTTTTAACTTCCATAACTTTTGAATATAATCAAATATTCTAATAATTAAACACTTAATATAGTTTCACTTCTTTGTTTTAGAATAAGATTCTTCGTTTCCAAAACGGAACTGTGACATCACACAGTGGTTTCAAATGGCACCCAGGGTGTCCAACCAATGGGCAGAGTTATTCTGGTCACACAAACATGTTTATCAGGATTGAGGAAGATTCAACAAGCCTACATCAATACATTCTCAACTTCTTTGATTATAGTACATACCTCCTGTGTGAAGTTTAAACTTCCATCCAACTGTTATAGCAAACGGTCAGATAAAAAAATTAAGATGGAGAAACATTTTCAGTGTAAATACTAAGTCCCCAGCATGTTTATTTTTATTTTATTTCAAGGGAATGGGGGGGGGATTCAGGGGGTGGTAAATATTTTGTTATAAGTGATGAAATTATTTTTAACTTATGAACATGTGTCATGAATATGACTGATCATTTTCACCGGCATATGAGCCACAGGGGGGGGGTTAGGGAAATCACTGTATATCCCACATATAAACCGACCCTACAAATTGTAACAATTTTTACCTTTTTGTTCATAGTATTTGATAAATACAGGGTGTTCATCAAGTCCATTTCAATTTGTTATAAAATATTTTCTCAATATATCTTATCCAGTTATTGCAATTTCTTTTTGATTCAGACATATTGCTACATTCTCGGTCTGAATTTTTGAAATTGTTTCCTTCTTGAGCTGACTTTTGTTTTTTCGTTCTGGTTCTGTCAAATTTTTCTTTCAATTTTTTGTTGGACATTTTGTTGAAACCAAATAATCAGCGTATCTTATCCAGGTTTGCTGTTTTTTATTCAGTAATTGTTCAAGTATTTTTACTTCATTCAATACATCTGTGAAGGCCAAAACAATATAGGGTGTCCATCATAAAGTCCCTTTACAATTTCAATTTGTTATAAAGTCAGTTCTCAATATATCTTAACCAGATTTATTGATTTTTAATTTTTAATCAATAATTGTAGAACTATTCTTACTTCATTTAATACATCAGTGAGGGCCAAAACAATAAATGGTATCGATAAATTTCCTTTGCAATTTTAAATTTTTTTAAAGACCTCATGGATACCCTATATTATTAAATTGCTTTCAGCTGTTTTTGTTTAGTTTATTCAAATATTCATTTTATGTCAAAAATAATTCAAGAAATTTAAAAAAAAATGGAATTCACTAAAAAAGTGATTCATATTTCACCAAAGATAGTTCCATATATGAAATTCATGGCATATTCAGTACTTAATTTGAAATTAAAAAATTATATTACATAGTGGCTCGTATTTCAAACATCTGAATTTATCGATATTTCCGTGAAACTTATCAATATTTAACCTTGAATCGTTTAATGCAGGGGCGGGCTAATTACAGCCCGCGGCCCGAGTTGTTTTTTATCCGGCCCACTAGTGTCGAATTCATGCAACCAGAGATAACACGGCTTAATCATAAGGCGAACCACGGTCGCTCGTTCGGTTTCCAGTCCATGTCGGTATCGGATTATTTAGCCAGTTATTTGTTAGAAGAAAGCCGTGACCGACCAACAGGTGGTTGCGTGACCCACCCTACGGCGCCGAGGATTCCAGCAATTCTTTCGCACATATTCATCCCCACATTATTCTAACTGCGAACCCACGCAGAGTAATCAGAGGTGTGGTGGCGAGCGTATTCCTAACGCTTAGCACGATGCGCTAAAAAAAGGAAAGCCTTTGATTTAGCAACCATGTTCATTTATAAATCTACTGCGGAAAATATTCCCCACTAAATTTACAGTTTGATTACTTTTTATTCTATTTATTAGATGTGCTCAAACAAATTTCATTATTTTTACCTTTCTGTTCATAATATGTGATAAATACAGGGTGTCCATAAAGTTCCTTCACAATTTCAATTTGTTATGAAGTCAGTTCTCATCATATCTCAACCAGGTTTGTTGTTTTTTAATTTTTAATCAGTAAATGTATAACTATTCTTACTTCATTACATCTGTGAGGGCCAAAACAATAAATGGTATCGAAAAATGATCTTTGTTATTTTTTGAAGACTTAATGGACACCCTATATTGTTAAATTGCTTCCAGCTGTATGTGTTTGTTTGTTAAAATATTCATTTTATGTCAAAATTAATTCAATAAATTAAGAAAATAGTTGGAATTAACTAGAAAAGTGATGCATATTTAACCAAAGATAGTTCCATGAACATATTCATTTTTTTTTTTAAATGTTAAATTCAAAAATTATATTATACCGTGTCTCTTTTTTCAATCATCTGAATTTATCATTATCCGGTCAACCCAAATTTTCATCCGGCCCACTAGTGTCTGCTGAAATCACGATTATAGCTGTTATGGACATAGATTTCCTTTTAGTAAATCGATGAAAATAATGGCATAATGTCCCCGATTGTTACATTGTGCTTCTCAATATTATATGTACCAGTGATTATATGTACCACAGGGGGGCGTAGACAACTTTGAGGGGGCATAAAGTTAATCATAGTCAAAAATATTTGTTAGATTTGATCTTGTCCGCCTTATTTGATTATTCAATTTCTTTATTGTTTAGAGATTGCAGAGAGTCTGTTTTTCTTGTATCTTTTTTAAATTTATCTTGGAGCATGATTAAGAGTTCAACTTCATGCTGCTAGTTCAGAGTATCTAAAACTGACATGGACAAAATATGGCCCGCGAGCCAAACCCGGCCCGTTGGGTAATTCAATTTGGCCCGCCTGATGCTGCCACAACCAAACTATACCCAAATTTTGATGTTTTAGTTGAAAATAACTCAAGGAATTTGTTGAAATTGCGGATAAATTTAGTGTCGGCACGAGACTCATTGCTTTTCAAGTTTGCTTTATAACCCTGTAAATATCATTCATAAAATGTAACTTTTAGGTCACACTTACATGACCCGCCAGTCTAGGTGGTTAAAATATTTAGCCCGTGGCCCAAAACCTTGCCCACCTCTGACTCTAGAACCTTCCATACAATCGTTAGCATGTTTACTCTGATCCTAGGAGTCCATTGTTACGTAATTGTTATTACATTTATTTCATTATTTACGTTCCATCCTTATTGTCAGCTAGTTTTTTTTGAGGTGGGGCGCAAAACTTGACAAATTCTAAAAAAGGGGGTGCGGCTGTAAAAGTTTGAGAACCACTGATATAAACGTCAGTCTAGCTGTTGAACTAGCTTTTGTAAATAAACTGTCTTTTATTCATAATTTTTCATATTAAGCTTTGAGCTTCTGTCCCAGTAACCAAGTCTATTAAGTGTAACTGGTCCACTCTAAAAAGTAATTGCCCACCCCTGGTTTAACGCAAAATAGATCCATTTGAAAAATTTAAGATTAAAAAAAGCTGCAAATATAACTGTAGAATACTTGAATATTTTGATATGAACATCTCCGGACGTAATTCATTTATATTTTATAACTTTTCTTCATTGTTTTATGTTTATTCTACAATAAGCATTGCTATAGAATTGCGTAGATAAAATATTTCCAAAAAAATTGAAAAAAAACTTTGAAAACATATTATCAGTTAGCAGTATTTTATTTTTTCACTATCATGTAAATACACTTTGTACACACAATAAAAAAAAACGTAAAATGGTATTTCAGGGTGGAAGAGGGGCGAACAACCAATACTGGTTTTCAAGCAGGGACACCCGTGATTAAGTCTAACAGTAATCAGGGAAAGAAAAAAGTCAAACATTGTATCATTAAAAAAAACGTTACATACGAAAATACAACTTCGAGCACTGCCAAGCAAGGTAACCACAGCAACGGCATTCTAAAGACAAGGCAGCACTAGATCCTAATTTACTGAATATAGTTTGCTCACGGCCGGTTTGCTACGCATGGGTGATGCGTTACTACGTCACCAGGTTGCTATATTTTGAAGCTTACGGAAAAAGATTTCCGTTCGAATTTATTTTCGTATTTGGAATGGTTTTGTTGGTTGAAATAAATGAAAAGATACACTGTGGCATTAGGATAAAGTAGGGGATCGTGGCATCTGCCAGTCATCTCTGCGTCGGTACCATGAGTTATCAAAGTGGGGTACTATAGGGGAAGAGTAATTCTACTGTCCTGCGATGGCATTTATTGAATAGTAATAAATGGTTTATAACAGAATTATAGTACAAAAGTAAGAATTCAGATACTTTCGGGTAAGGATGGTCGATATGGAGTCGGTTTCCGCCTTTTCGGCGCCGTTCGTCAATTTTTGTATTTCGGATTTATAATTTATTAATCAGGGACGAGCGTTATTCTCTCACCATGAAATCTGTCTCGTGTGATTATACATATGCTTTCTCGCAAAGAGTCCGCAAAAGCGTTTGCGGCAGATAACAAACACCGTAATCCCAGTTTGAATATTCTGAACGCGGAGACGGCGTTATTGCAGCACCATTTTATTTAATATTATTGGTGCCTACTGCCATCTCATCGGCGATTTTTCGATTGCTTTTTCTATCTTTAAAAACCGGACCATTGATGCTATTAAGCCCAACTGTAATTAGAATAGAAAGGTATGCTTGAGCTCATTTTTAGTTCCTTTAAATACTGTTCCAATTATTACGCTAATATACTTTCGTCGGTGCTCCAGAAGTATGTGTAACAATATGGTCGTGTAACTAATTTTGTTCGCCTACTTTACATCAAGTTATATAAAGGAACTGAAACTTATGGACAGGGGGTATATTGGCTAACACAGACAGGTCCCGAAATCGTAATGGAACTAAAATAAGGAAAATTGGAATAAAATTATGGCCAAACCCCAACATGGTACACATACTACGTTGCGGTGTCCGCCATCTTGCTTCACATACTACGGGAGTACCCATGCTAACCCCCTGGGGGTGGGGTGGGGGGTTGTTGCGGTTCGTAACCCCCTTTTTGAAAGTTAAAAAAAGCATTTTTCTGCATCATACATTACAATTTTTCGTAATTTGAAAACGCTTTTTAGAACCTCAAGCCTATGAAAACACACGTTTACGGGGGTTCGGCCGGATTCATTAGCTGTTTCGATCTAGTTTGACAAGTAGAGGTTGCAGAACACTAGCTAATCCCATATCCGAAATGGACTAGCAACCAGACGAGAGGCCACATTATCTAGATGTCCTCTCCATGGGATGAATATGTATATCCTATTCTAGTAAATAAATCCTTCATTGTTGAGTTAACTCTTAGTTTGACAAAGCGTTACTTGATTTACTTATATCGCACAATTCTTTATGTTTATTTTACAGCTACCTCCCGGGTGGACAACAACGCCAGCAAACCCGTCATCCAGTCCAGTGAA